AATTTTCTGAAACTTTTTTACAAAAGTGTTTTCTTGTTGTGTCATCAATTACATCTAGAATTACACAGTATAATTTGTGGTTCGAGCTTGCCAAATCTCAGGTGAAATAGTTCTCCCAATGAATATGTTCAAGGAAATTTTCGAAAAACATACTCTTAAGATGATTGATTATGGAAAGTGCAAACTCCTTCAAATGTCACATTAGATCTTCACTTGTTTGTTATACCTTTATTCCCTTATACTCGTATACTATTTATATGACAAATTTCATTTCTGAAAACCATTGTAAAACTTTTTAGGTTAGGATTCACATTATATACTTTTTAACTTTATCATTTATATGAGACGAGTGAGTGACATCCATGAAATATAAAATGTCAGCTATATATTTCGTTCCAATGATATAAAGGTTTTGAAATCGTGACAGATAACGTCCAAGATAACGTTTGATGAAGATTATAACCATTCTGTTAATTAATTCTAGGATGAATTGTCCGCTACTGCCAAAACCGATGTCGATGAAAAACAATACAGCTGATTTTTAGAGTGTTTGATCACTTCTCTATAAGAAACATTATTCGTTTTCAATTGTGGTAGTAGGAAATCAAAATATCTCCAGTTGAGAATTCAACTAGATAGTATTAACTTTAACATTAACATGCTTTTATTAGCTTCATCTGTATTTATGCATGTATGTATGCATGTATGTATGTTTGTAACTCCCCCTTTCATTTCATATTTATTCCCGTTTGAATACTTTGGATCTGTATTTGATAGAATTATCGACCTATTGCTTGATCTATTCGCGGGCAGATGGCGCTGTACGTAACATCCTTGATATAGTTCAAACTCACTTTACATATATTTCTTCATTTGAAAAAAGTACTTTTTTTATCAACACGCGCGCCTGCTGCCTTATTTGTAACTCTCCTTTGCGCGCCTGCTACCTTTCTTGGGCTTGGTAGCTGATTTTCAGGCATCGAACTAAAAACTTGAAAATATGTTTTTAAATNTGATTTTCAGGCATCGAACTAAAAACTTGAAAATATGTTTTTGAATAAGCTTAAAACAATAACAAACGAAAAATACTAGTATAGTAATACGGGCGCTAGATATAAAAAAATTTGGACACAAAGCGCCCACGCTTTTTTCACAATAATACTAGTATTTTTCGTTCGTTTTGGTTTTAAGCTTATTTAAAAAAAATATTCTCAACTTTTTAGTTCGATGTTCTCAAAAGCGTGTTTTTTAAATTATATTTATTTTTCATTTTTTAGTTTCGTATGCTATAAAAGTGCGTTTTTTGGTCTTCTTAAACTATATTTACTTTATTTAAACTTTGGGCCATAAATGCCATATGTTGTTTAGAAAAATGACCATTTATATTTTCTGATTTCGGAGAGGGAGCCTGAAAATCAGCTACCAAGCCCAAGGCAGCAGGCGCGCAAAGGGGGGTTGCAAATAAGGCAGCAGGTGCGCGTGTTATTAAAAAAATACTTTTTTCAAGTGAAGAAATACATGTAAAGTGAGTTCGAATTATATCAAGGAAGTTACGTACAGCGCCATCTGCCCGCGAGTAGATCAAGCAATAATGTCGATATATCAAGGAGGTTACGTACACCGCCATCTGCCCGCGAATATATCAAGCAATAATGTCGGTAATTCTGTCAAATCAGATCCCGAACTTCATTGTATAAGTTTGAAAATGTCCATATAGGACGAAACTGCAGAAACATTAGTTACGAATAAAAGTGGTATAAAACATAGAAAGTTTTATTTCTCTTTTTTTCAAACTATATATCACTTATGAGTTACTCTCACATCGAATACTTTTAGAAATTATTGTATAGGAACATGAAGCGAAACTACGTCTGCATGTGACACTTTGATGGGCTTCCTATTAGCTACCTTTCACACGTGATGCTTCACGTCCCTGGCTCCCGAGAGAGATGAAGGCTCTTAACGCCGAAATGCAACGAGTTCAATAGAGCTTTCAGAAGAAGAGCAGGAGCGTACATGTCTCGAAAGACGAGAGCTCTTACGTCTCCTGCACTTCGAGCTGGAGAGTCACGTCTTTTCCTCAAAATGCAAAAGGATGAGTGGGGGATTCCACACGAGGAGTGAAAACTGCTCTCCTATTTATTACGGCGGATTACGATGTGAAGCTGTTAATTAATGCTGTCTGCAACCGACCTGCTCTTTGGAATAAAAGTCTCGGCATTTATAAGAACCAAAATGAAGTCGTAAAAAGTTGGTTGGAACTCTGCAAGGTGCTCAACGTAGTTTTCGCAAATTTATCCATCCCATTTTTGATCGTTGACCTTTCTGTCGTCGAGGTTTGTGTCGACGGTAGAGAAGGTATATGGCCAAAATCCATGGCCATGTTTCTAATCAGTGGAGAAGTGAAGGAGTAACAGTTTAGAGTTATTATATAATTTGTTCATCATAATGATTCTTCAAATTTACATATTAACATGTACTTTTTGGACCTGTTTTCAATCATTTTTATCTATTGATATTTTTTATTTCATATATAACTTGTAATCGTTTCCTAGGAAAAATAAGTTATTCCTTTCGTTTCTGTACATGTACAATAAGGGAAAGCCATAAAGGTACTTGACTTCTATCTAGATTTTTGTTTCCATCCATTGAAATGATTTTTAAGGACGATACTATTGAAAAAAACTGACCGATACTTGTAAAAAAACTGTATTACTACTAACTGATGGAATTAAGTCTAAAATTTTCACTACGAGGGTTTTACAATAACGTTTTGCATTTTTCGTAAAACCTTCACAGCAAAATTGTATCACCGTAAATTGTATCACGAGTTCAAGTTTATCCAATGAATCATATATAGTTTCAACCCCCTAGTGCGTAGATGTATTTAGCCAGCAAAACTGCTGTCCCCGCTTTTCTTTTCATACTGTCTGAATATTGGTTTCAGGTCAACCTGAGTTCTAGTATCTCACTCAGTCTCTCGACAGTTATATCTCTTTACTTCGGAGTTATAGAAATTCTAGTCCTTCTGTCTTGGTTCTCTTGGGCAATACTACTATGTTTCTGTCCAATCCTAGAAATTCTATAATCAATGTATTTTTCCATTGACGGTCTGCTGACTGACAGCTTGGTTACTGGTACCGTCTGACCCGTGCGGGGAGTCACATGTCGAAAGATAAGTCTTAGTTCGCACAAGTTCCGACTTTCGAGGATTGTAGTGATCAAACCAGAGCCCAAAGACACATCATTCATGGTTCAACACCACTAAGCACTGTTTCGACCCGCCATAGGTGTCATCAGTGATATTAGACTGAACCACCAATACATTCCGTCTGTTTAAAATCTGTTTTTCCGTTAATCAGCTGCCGCCCCCATACGAACGACAACTCTCAGAAGTTGAGAAACTTGTGCGAACTAAGGACTAACTAGGTCTTACCTTTTAACGTGTGATTCCTAACACGGTTGCAGAATCATTCCAGCTTCAACCAGATAAATTCTCTCAAGAAAAATATCTGGTCGAGGCGGGAATCGAACACACGGCCTTCCGATCGTGAGTCGGACGCACTACCATCGCGGCCAATTCCACAACACTCGACTTAACTGTCAAACCACAATCCTGAGTAAGTAGTAAGGAATACAGCTACCCATACGAAGATGTCATCTTTTGAATCGACAGAAGATACAATTCACAATTATCAAAGATAAACCAGTCTCTCCAAGATGGTCAGTTGTGAGCCAAGCTTCGACATCGACTGCCAAACGAGATTTTTTCTCTATCTTCCACTGGAACTATCACTGTGATACTAGATCCTAGAGAGAAAGCATTCGTGATTCAACACCAGACAGCACTGTATCGATCCATCAGTGTTGCCATAATTATATTGATCAACTGTTCCTAAAGGAAAAACATGAGTAAGAAAATGCGATGACATTTTTCCTTACCAATATGTCATCTGTAAGATCGACAGAAGACTCGATCCACGAATGTCAAAGACACACGGAACTCCCCAAGAAGGTTGAATGGAGTCTTCTAACGATCCCACAGATGACATCTTTATAAGGCAAGATGTAATTGCTTCTACTTACAACTCAGGCTTGTCCTTCAAGAACAATTGACTACAGTATTGCATTCGTGGTTCAGTATAGCACTACTGATCAGATCTATGGCGGGTCAAAACAGCGCTGCCTGATATTGAATCGTAAAAGCCATATGGGCTATGGTTTCATCTATATAGTTTCCTTGCACTGAAAGTCCAAGTGAAAGTGGAAGACAGAGTATGGATTTCGATCGGCTGTTGATATCGAAGCTTATCTTTGCAACGGACCAGCTTGTGAACCCCCGTTATCTTTGTTATACGTGAATTGCATCTTCTGTCGATCTCGTAGGTTGATAACATTTTCTTAATGAAACGCGAACACAAGCACAAATCAAGGTTTAAACTAACTAGGCGATGAAATAGTTAAGTAATAAGTAATTGCTAATATACCTGTGGTAAAAAATTGTTTTCCTTTACAGAAAGAAGCGCAAAAACAAAAGGGTAATCTATTAGTATGCGGAATATCGGCAGAAATCGTCCTTTCCCTCTTAGCCCAAGGAGCTAAGCACAGAACGAAAACAGAACTCCACCAAGCCCTCTCTGAAGATGACACCTCTCTAACCGCGTATAGACAGCTGACTCCAAGACTGAATCAAAACGAAGACGACTTCAAACTCTTATCCGCAAATAAACTGTACGCAGCCGAAGGCTTTGAAATCGAAGACGACTTCAAGAGAGTTGCCGAAGACCCCTACAAAGCTCAAATACAGACTGTCAACTTCGCAGAAAACCTCAAAACTACTGGTTTGATCAACAATTGGGTGGCTGATAACACAAATCAAAAAATAACGGATCTGATAAGTCCAGATCAGTTGTCAGCTAACACAAGACTGGTACTTGTCAATGCCCTGTATTTGAATGGTCTTTGGGAAATTCCTTTCGAAAAACTTCTCACTAAAAAACAGGCTTTCCACCCTTCTGAACAGGAGTCTAAAGAAATTGACATGATGACCGTTGAAGGAAATTTCAGATATAGACATTGTGGATTTTATAAAGCTCAGTTTTTGGAAATGGGTCTCAGACATGCTAATCTCAGCTTTGTAATCGTATTACCCGATGCTCACGATGGACTGGCTGATTTAGAATCGAAATTAGACGGACTACTGGAAGTGCGCAATTTAAATGTCTCGAGGTTGGCGGTTACCATTCCCAAATTCACCATCAGATCAAAGATCGATTACCGCGATATTTTGGAGAAGGTGAGTAGGTGTTCTAAGAATATATGAATTGTAAATTGAGATTTGAGAGGCTGATTTGAGAGGCTGATTTGAGAGGCTAGATTTGGGTTCGATTGGTAACCTATACATAAAGTAAACTAAGAAACTATAATAAATAATTTTCTCAGATACCAATAGTAGAGTATAGTGTCCAAATGAATCAATAGTCAGTTTCTTTAAAAAATTATGAAACTAAAATAGTGAATCCTTTTACAAAAAACCTATAGCGAGAAGATGAATATTGGAAACATTTCCATCATTTCGTAGTTTCCTTTTGAGAAAAGTCAAAGGTAGTTCAAAGCTGAATCGTTTGATATGTAATACAAAAACCTTAAAAACCTTAAAAACAAAACAACAACATGGATGAAAGACATAACTTCGAATAATGTGATTAAAATCAGGTTAATGAAAGTATATGCTGATATGTGCCTACAAGAAATGGATTTAACATGAAATCCAAAGTATATAAACGAAATTCAGCAACTAAATTTCGTCTATCCAACAAACAAAGTAACCCAAACAATAATAGTTACGTGATCAAAGCAGGTTCACAATGCACATTTGCATCTATTGGGTAGAATAAACAAGTCTCCCTACCAATCCTGGCCAATCAGATTCAACTGCAATCGGCTGGCGGAATTAATTTAGGTATATCGCTAGAAAGTTGGAGTGGTGAGTTACATTTCAACGCCTGTGGGGTGTACATATCCGGTATTTTGAAGTTTATCAAGTTCTCATGCGACTGAAGAAACTGTTAATTTGAGTCCCTTCACACTACCTGAATTAAAATTCCTAAAACCAACCGCATATTATAAAAAAAATTTGGTCGTTCCTTAGTGCGACTTTGTACAAGCAGCCTTCCCTGGGAGATCAGGTGTACTATGCACTCTTTTGCTTAGATAAACAGAGTATAGTATGCAATTTGTTACCAATACTTAGTAAAACCGACTGCCAAATTGGAAGAATTTCGAAAAGTGGGCATCAGAAAATAATAGAAAATATGAAATGGATTTTATTTCGAGTACAGGATACTTTACGATGCAGGACAATAATATGTTGAATTCAACATTACAAAATGTACTGCAAAATTTTCACTTCCAATCCTTTTGAATTCAATGTCAGATCAAAACGCTTTCTGATTGCTTAACATTATAGGTTTACTTATGGTGTACACTTTCACGAACGCCCAGTAAAGTTTTATCCAGGGGATTGGGTAAAAACAAATAATCACGTGAATATTACTGCAGTTTTATCCCAACACCAAACCGTTATTTTAACACATCGACACGTGTTTCGATCACCAAGTGATTCTCTTCGAGAGGAAGATTAAAGTTCAATCTTCCTCTTGAAGGTGATCACTTGATGACCGAAACACGTGTCAAGGTGTTAAAATAACGGCTTGATGTCGAGATGAAACACCAAAGCTTCCAAACAGGGCATCACAAGTAACTAATAACGTATTAAAAAAGAATTCCTTCTTTAGGCAGAACATATAATCAGTAAACAGTTCTGAAACGAATTTGATGACTTTATCTCATTTTAAACTTTGAGTTTCCATATTGGAAAAATGATAATGTTAACTTACGTGCTGGATTCATTTTAGTGTTCATCGATTTCAATTTGGAATATGTGTATTTCAGCTAGGAGTCTTCAGTGTTTTCCAAGATGATGCGAACTTGTCAGGTATTTCTCGTAAAGAGGGACTTCGGGTGGACTTCGTGGTTCAGCAAACATATATTAACGTGACTGAAGGTGGAATTGAAGCTGCAGCAGCAACAGCAGGTAATGTACTATAGAACGAATGTAGGGTTTCTAACGGTTCCACGTTTTTTTGTGCATGATAACTAATTGAAATACGGCAAATCTTAGTGTAACTCTGGTTTCCCTTTTCCTTCTAAACAATTCTATACTTTATCATTTGAAACCTATTGGTACGTGGAACACGGTAAAAGGATCAACAAGAACGTTGAAAACTCTTGAAGTTAACCAATCTCGGAAGTAGTTTGAATTTAACAGCATGTTCCCACATGAAATTTGCTAGAATGTTCATTGTTGACTCATGAAATGAATCTATTCCAGTTGGAGTATCTTTAACATCTCTACAGCCTTTCAAAGTTTTCTTAGCAGATCGGCCATTCTTATTCCACATCAGAGACGATGACTCCGGTTTAATCCTCTTCGCTGGAAAATTCCAAGGTTGAATATAACATGATATACATTTCCGATATTGCTATTTGACATTGCATTCTACATGTGTATTGAGTTCAACAAATATTTTGAAGCTGAAATTAAACATTCTCAACTACGAAGTTTATTATTGCATCACCAAATGCATCACCAAATAAGTACGTCAATGATTTTACGATATATGTGGTATAACTCGATCTCGTTAGTCTTTGTTCTACTTAGAACGTTTCTTCAAATTGTAATACGACTCTGAAAGTGCTATTATGAAAACTAACAATTCTCAAGAGCTGAAAGATTTTATGTTGAAGAAAATAGTTGGACGTGAATTGATGAATTATTTGAATAAAACAGATAGGTGGGTCAGGTGTTGACTGACAATTTTATTAAAATGTGTGTGTGGGTAGCAATGAATATACATTTTCCTTTCGAATGTATCGATCATTATAAATATTTTATTATCATTTACCTGTTCCACATTATGTATAAAAAATATCATGTGCACACCAAATGTTTGTCTTTAATTCAGTTTTTAATATATTATAACTGTCAGAATATGACTTCAACCCATTTGAAAGTAGGGTTTATTTCGCATGTGTTTCTGAACCACGAGCAGTATGGACTTTATAATATGTTAAAATATATTTTTCCGTTAACCAGCTGTAGCCCCCATACGAACAACAACTCTCAGAAGTCGAAACTTGTGCGAGCTCAGGATTAACGGGGTATCACCTGTTAGCATGTGAATCCAAACTTGTGATTCTCAATACTATAGGGTCTCCCAACAAATTGATGATTGAGGTTATTAGAAAACATTTGAATGGACTACAAGGATACGTTACACAACAAAATAGACATGATCTACTGTATTTTCTCGTTTTCAACTCTTCATATATACGATAGGTGGTACAGTGGTCTCCTCAAAATGCGTTCTGATTTAACCAAGTGTGCGAGACTATTTTGGACTGTTTGAGATTTTTTGCTTGTACGCATCATGTCTTGCGCAGTGTCCAAATTGTTAAATTGTTTCGGATGTTAGAACCAGAACAAACCTACTGTTTTGGAAAATCATTACCAAATCATTGTTTTATCAAAATGGGTGTTCAGTTCGGGCAGTGAACCGCGCGCTTTGCCATAATCGTCCTATACCGAAGACTATTCGCAATGTGGGGGATTTTGAGATCACTGGTTCAGTAAACGATCGACCAACACCCGTATTTATTTGAGAACAATGTTGGCCAGGATAACAAAGTCAACGGCGAGCGCTATAGGCCGAAGATTACCAACTTTTTTTAGCCTGAATTGAATGATCTGGATACCAACGACATATGGTTTCAACAGGACGGTGCTACATGCCACACACCTAATGCTACATTGTATATTCAGCACGAGCGCATGGTAATCTCACGTGGAGGTGATGTGAACTGGTCACCGAGATCGTGCAATTTGACCCGGTAGACTTTTTCTTATGCAATTTTCTTTAAATAAATATTACTGGAGTTTTTTCCCAACACCAAATCGTTATGTTTACACCTCGACACGTGTTTTGATCACCAAGTGATCATCTGCAAGAGGAAGATGATCACTTGGTGTTTTATCTTCCTCTTGAAGATGATCACTTGGTGATCGAAACACGTGTCGAGATGTAAAAATAACGATTTGGTGTTGGGAAAAAACTCCAGTAATATTCATTACTACACCAAAGGTTCCAAACAGTACTTCATAAGTACAGTTTTCTTTATTCGGAGGTGTATGCTAATACGCCACAAACCACAGTGGTCTTCAAAGCCAACCTAACCTATAGTCAAATTAAGCTTAATTTATGCGCCAGAGTCATGGAAAATTGGACGTTTCGGATGCGCTCCACCCAGAACATTTGAACGATGTTATATTCCACGCATAATGGGATCAATAGACGTTTCAAACGAATACAAAATTTTGATGATATCTCACACACACTTTGTTTTATTTAAATTCGAAAATAGGAAGATGGCAATGTATTTTTAATCACTTGCTCATACTCTGTTCAATCGTGGCGAGTGAGTTCATGGACGCCCCCAGAGTAGTCGATGACATTTTCACAACTGCCGATAGAGGTTAATGTACAGTTCTGCTACAGATACCAATAATAAATTCGTTTCTTTTCCGAAGGCACAGTACACTTCAGAAGGTCTGTGGGGTTTTTGAAAACTTTACTTTTTTCATACACGAGGGCTAATCGACGAATGATAAATCTTTGTATTGACGCGCCCAGAGTAGTCGATGACATATTCACAGCTGCCGATAGAGGTTAATGTACAGTTCTGCTACTTCTTGACTACAGAACAGTTTTTGACACTATTTTCATGAGGTACCAATAATAAATTCGTTTCTTTTCTGAAGGCACAGTACACTTCAGAAGGTCTGTGGGGTTTTTGAAAACTTTACTTTTTTCATACACGAGGGCTAATCGACGAATGATAAATCTTTGTATAACTGTATTTCAGTTTTTGAGTTCCAAATTGAATTATTTTGTTCAACTTTATTCAAAACCATTCATTACGAAAGAATTGAAACCTATCGATTCGACTCGGTCAAAGCTCAGTGTTGACAACAAGTTGCTTATTCACAAACTAGTAATAAGACCAGCTATGTTGTACGCCTATTCTCCATTCTGCAGCCTCAAGAAAACTTTTTTACGGAAACTTGAGACGATACAGAATGAGGGGTTCCGTATTTGCACGAATAGTGACAGATACATTTCACTGGTTGATCTGTTAGATCTGGCTGAAGTTGGGACGGTCACTCAACATATCAGGAGGCTGTCTCAGAAATTATTCATGTTCTTTTTGCCAAAAAGCCCGTTGACAAGGGACGTCATGGCGCTTAGGAGTTATCATGGTCAGCTCCTTTAAAACGGATTGATCTATGACTCATTGGATATCTTTCATGCAGCGCCGGATTTATACTTCGGCGGCCCATAGGCAGAGCATGTGGTGGAGGCCCTCAAATCGTTTGTGGTTAACTGTTGAAAGTTTCTATTAAGGTCAAGTTAAATAAGGGAGCAACTGAATGAATTGGCTAACATGAAATTTGTTCGAAATTAAACTACAGGTACCTACAAGCTAAATTATTTTTCGTCTGATTTTCACATTAATAAATGTATCGATAATATCGTCGAAGTCTGTTTCCCTCAAAACATTACTCTCTAAACTGTTTCGAAAAGGATCTTTCAGTCGTACAATTTGTCACCATCAGTGACACCAACATTGTTTTTACACAACAATTCATACATCCATCTCTCATAGCTAAACTCTCCTCTTCTCTTTTGTTCAAATTCTTCATAGTGAACTATAAATAGTTTGAAATATATGAATTCATTGCCAAGAGTATCATCTACGTCGTCGCGATAGGTTTTAGCAAGTTTTGGCTGGCAGACAAAATTTTTTGATCACACATTGTTGTTAAATTTTTTAAAAATGTAAATCGTGTATTTATGAGTGGGTACGCGTCCATTCTCTTCTGAAGAGCGGTCATGAGCTGGTCGACAACTGGGAGGTAGCTTCGAGTTCTAAATTTGTCCGAAGGTGACAACTGAACTTCCGAAGCTTGCGGACAATCTAAAGTGGACAACCGGACGTTTCTTTTTGTTTTGCTCCTTTTTTCTTCTTCGTAGTTTCGGCAATCAACTAGCTCGAAAGCTTTTACTTCATATTCATTAAAACTGTCTCTTTTATTTTCAATGGTTGATTTAAATGAAGTAAGTAGTGCTGCAGCAGTGTTCAAGTCCAACCTAGGATTTTGTAGGCTTTTGTTGACTTTGTTTATATGTCCCCAAATATTATCCCAAAAAACTGTATATATAGCTGCCATACCATACCATCATGCTGTTGCTTTTTATTTAGCTGTGCCATCTTCGTCCTCAATAATTTTTTTGAGGGCATTTATAAAACCTTTATAGCTTCGCAAGAGTGCTATAGTGGCTTCAACTTGACATGACCAGCGAGTTGTCGTTCTTTTCGGCACAATAATAGGTTGGTCGGTTTTGCTTCTCTTAAACAACGACTAACTGTATTGTACCTGTTAGTTGAAGCAGTAAAATATACATACAGTTTTTCTAAAAAATCAAAGAAACTCATTGCTCTGAGACAACAACTGTTGCCTTTTTTCAATAGATAGAGTTAGCGAGACGCCATTTTTCGCTGTTGCTATTGGTCTAGCGCGGCGCGGAAAAAAGCGCGAAAGGCACCATTTGTGTTCATATTGGGTGCTGCTTGATCTCGAACTTTTTCATTATTAACTTTTCCCGCTCATAGAAAAAAATAAGTTTTTCATGTAACTATTTGTAACAAAACTAAGTATTTTTTGTTTCTATTAAGCTTTTATCGATTTAATTTTTTTTTGTGGTGTGATGGCGGTCCCCTTGTGGTAGCGTCCCATAGGCAACTGCCTATGTTGCCTGTGCTTAAATCCGGCAGTGCTTCCATGAGCGGCGCGAATGTGATCGCACTTAGTTCATGGAAAAATTGGATAAGATAATTCACGTCATGGCGTGATCACCGAATTACTCTCACCCGGTTCTTTCATGAACTTCTCACAGGAGGTTCTGGATAACTTAGACATTAGCTTGCATAGATTCAAATGAGATAAGACTATTGAATTCGCAACTCAAGGAGAACTCTCGCGTGAGCTTCGGCAGGAAACGAGACGTCATAGACGGAGGCTGAAGTGAAGCTTGAAACTCTGCAGGGGCGCCACCCACTGTCGAATCGTGAGACTGTGTGGTGACCTTTCTTCTGTTGTCTCCTTGGGCTCAACAGTATAGTTCTCCTTCTGCCAATCCCCCCATATCATACCTTCCCTCCTTCTTTCCCCTCTCCTAAGGAGAGCAATATGTACATATGTAAATAGATTTTCACTAAATTCATACCCAGAATGGAAAATCAGAGGTTTTGATTTTGCTTCGACTCGGTCCTTATATTCTATCTTCATCTGCAAAGCTGAATAATCCCTTAAGTAGTTTGATTTTAACAGCATAATAATTTTTAGTGGTATACTGCAAATCATCTTCTTTTCTAAGATTTCTCAAGGACATTATTCATTCACTCATTAAATCTGTTCTAGCTGGAGTAGCTTTTTCTG